ATTCCAAATTGCAATGGAAGTAAGGAGACCAACCATCCGTAATACCCACACTTACAATGGGAGATGATATCAGCTAGCTCAAGCTCAGTTAGTCATATATATATATATATATATATATATTCCAGCCATCATAGGCCAGATTGAGGATGAACCTTGTAAAATCAAATGGGATCAGGGATCTATGATCTCTCTCTCAAAGGATATGGAAGGGAGAAAAAAAACCATGCATACCAGATGGTACAACTCCCACTGGTTAGCAAATAGGATGATCAAATAGGCAAAAGAGAGGAGTGTGGAATACTGTTCACCATAGCAGCGAGAATGTGCAGTTTCATCACCTTAATTTTAGGGTCCGTTTGGTCCATAATCTGAACTGGAATGGGAATCAAATTCTTCCAGAATTGGAATTAGAATGATTTATTCCTATAATCTGTTTGGTTCAGAGAAGAATTGGAATGAGAATTGAAATAAGCTAGAATAGGATTTCATTCCCAAGGAAGGGGGAGGGAATGATTATTCCCTCAAATAGGAGAATGCCATTCCACCAGGAATGGAAATGAGATTCCGATTCTGCTCAATCAAACATTTGGAATAAAAATGGACCATTTCGATTCCAATTCCACACCCCTATTTCCGCAAACCAAATGGCCCTTCCCTTTAGGGTTATTAAATCATGAATGATAGGCACCCTAAACTTATCACGGAATCAGATCACTCCCATCAAATAAAATAACTTTACCCTGCTTTTGGTTTGATAGAAAATGAGAGAGAGATTCTTCAAGAATTCCCCTCAACTTTCTGTTTCTCTCTTACTTTCTATCAAACCCAAAATTAGTATCATATACTATTGGGTGTGTCATTTAGCTGAACTTATTTAGTTGCAAGCATGAAAAAATATGTTGAGAGTTGAGATGGAAGCTTACATGGGCACAAGCTGGGGTCATGTGTACTGACACGGCAAGCAAAAGAAGATGGCCTCAAGGGCTCTAGTAATGGCGATTAAAAAACTGGGATTCCAAAGCTATTAGCGTCACAGGACTGAGACAGGAACTCGGGCAGTCCGGCCAGTGCCGTTACACCTCTACCGCCTACCGCTACAATCACCATCACTGCAACGGAGGTCCTAATTCCAGTGCTCCTCCATACCTCAGGCAGTTTCTTTTATTCCACTCTGCTCTCACTTTCTTGACTGAGAGGGAAAGAGATGGGCCATGCAGATTAATGGTCTGGTCTGAAAGCTAACTCCTTCCAACACCTCAATCAATGAGGGGGTTGAAAGAGAGTGCTTCAAATTCAATTCGCATCGTCTCCTTTAAGTTGCATTTATTCGGTCATGAGGAGAGATTCAATGCAAAGTTTTAAAGTGGGTTGGGCATTGAATGCAGTAGGTGACAGACTGGTTTTCTGTTTTAACCATGTTGGACTGGTTCAATCAACATGATCATGAAGTAAAAATTTCAAAAACTAATCCCAAAGGGGTGGAGGAAGAAATCCAATTGAGCTCTCATTCCTTGTTAATTCCACACGATCAATCAGCTCTTCATCTAATCTTCCTTCTCTTCTCTAGCCCAACCTTGGAAATAAATTTCCCTGCTTGCCCCACCAAAATTACAGGGAAAGAAAATAGAAATTGAACTCAATAAATGCTTAATCACTACAAAAGTAAAAATTGTTAATACAATCAAATATGCACTTCTTTCCTAAAATAAATTTCAACAAGAACAAAGTGATTATTGATCTTGATGCTTTACTAGTCCTTAAAAATAAAAATGGCTAGCCATTTTTTTTTATTTTGTTCTTTTGGTTGGACTGAACCCTAAAACTGTAATGAGGAAATTGAAACTTTTGAGATAGAAGTCCTAGAATCATTCCCTCTATGGTTTTCTAATGATATCCTCAAATCTCAGAAGAAGAAAACAGCTGCCACACTTGATAAGCCAACAAGGAAAATCAGAGTTAAGTCTCCAGAAATGCGAGAGCCACCGCTGCTGCCCTTTGTTGAAGGAGCTCCTGCTTCTGGTGATGGTGCAGATGCTAACATATAATTTTGTAGAATTAGAAAGCATGGTTTAGAAGGAAAAATACTATAAAGAAAAGGTATGCAGCTCCTTGACATGTTTAATAGCCTTACTCGTTTATTTGGTGTAACTAACATGGAATTTGCCTAGACAGAGAAGAACAAAATGGACAATGGAATTTGTTTCAAGTAATCTTGTATAACATGGAATTTTTCTTTAAACATGTCGTAAGAATGAAGGTCCTTCCAGTGAAGAAGGCCACAGAATATATACTCGGGTCTCCAACTGTTTTATGTGGCTTCTATCAGATTTGGTTGGGGTCAATATAGATATATATAAATCCACTCAACGAAATTATTAAAACCTAGGCTGACTGGACACAAGCCCAACCCAATCTTAAACCTGAGCCAATTGAACATGAGCACAACCAAAATGATATTTCCTCAATCCAAGTATAACCAGTTTCAGAGTAATAGTTAGGACAGTATGGTTTAGCTTGAGATGGAAATATCAACATGATTTAAACCCTGATTAGAGTTAGGCGAAAAGGGTAATAATTTAAAATTGCATTGCACAACTAAAAAGAAATATTGGAGTTGAAAACATGAGCAAGAAAATCGATCCTCAAGCTATGCCAACTCGTCCATAGTCAATTAAGCTCTCCTATCCTGAATAAAGTTAGGGTTTAACAACTGAGCCTCTATAGACTGGCCTTCAGTTACCAGAATGGTCTAATAAATGACAAATTTCCTGTTTGTAAATGCACTTCAAAGTATTTCTACTGAAAGAATACCATATCACTATAGAGAATTCGAGCTAATGAAGGGTGTGAGTTATTAGTAACCTTCCTCATAAATGCATTCAAATGATGATACGATCACTTCAACTTTTATTCTTTCCCTTTTTATTCTGGGTTGTTCCCTAGACACCCGGTCTATAAATTGAACGGGTCCAATCCAAATGGATATGCATGCACCACATCATCTGACATAAATGTTTTTGTTTATCTTTGTTTTAAAGGAATGCCATCAAAAATGCATGCAGGTTTCCTGAAACAAAGTAAAAACTTGGCCAATTCAATTCAGAAAAGTAGCTTTGTTTTCTCAAACCAACAAAAAGATGCATTCAATAACAAAAGCATGTTTCTAATTCCACAAGACTGATATGAACTACTATTTAGTGTATGGCTCAAACACCAAAGTTTGCCATGGACCGTCTTAAAGGTGCTACTTTAAAGCCCCCATGGCCATGAATCATATAAACTCACATTTAAATGGACTTCGGTCTGAAGTATAAATAAAAATATAGAAAAAAATGTGAACTAATATCCATTATTGCCAGAAGACCTACGTAAAACCATTTTGTTTTGATGTTTTGCATCAAAGTAAGCTGAAAACAATAAAGCATTTGTTATAACACTTATTAATACATGAATTTTGAATATATTTGACCAACTCAACTTTTCAAAAGGAAAACATTGTTTAGGAAACCAGAGCGGACTACCCGGTTGGACCAGTTGAACTGTGACCCAGGGCCCTGGGTGGTTCAATCACACCCCAAAAACCCAAATTCCTCAAAAAATCAGTCAAAACTGGCTGACCAATCAATTTAACTGGAGAAATAATGAACCGGTCCCGATAGAAATGAGATTCAATCAGTGCAAAGCCAGTTCAAACAACCATCATAGCTTTGCATTGGGAATATCTCCCCATGAAATAAAGCATAGAAGTACAGAGATGTTCCTGATGCAAGGCTGTTCAGGCTGTTTGAACAGTGTTCGAACGGGCCTTGCACTGACTGAAGCCGATCTCGTCCCAATATCATGAAACTGCCCAGGTCACTAAATAATTGAAAATTCCAAGTGTTTGTGACAAGACTTGAACCCATAACCTCTTATTTACATGTATTGCTTAATTACCATTAATCTATTTTTTATTTGTGTTAATTAATGGCTCTTGGTCATTGTTGAATTAAGAGGCTTGAACCTTGGTTATTTGTTTTAAAATTTATGAAACTTGCCATCCATCTATCATATTTAAGTATATGATAAAATTTGTAAAATATATTATATATGGTATTTATATGACTTGTAGTATATATACATATATGCCATGTCATAAGTCATAACGGTTCGAGCTCCAATGTGACCCCAGTTGAACCTCTCCCTTTTCCTGTTCTATGACCAGTCCAATTCACTGAACATTGCAAAAAACAGTTTTGGATGCTTGTCCCTGATTTGAAAGGTCTGATCTCAGTCTCAGAACATTTTTAATATCCATTCAACCAAGAAGTCTATCGGAACATTGTATGCTTTATGAGACATAAAATCAAACCAGTAGGGGAAAGCAAGAAATCATGCTTTTAAATTTCTGGTTTCACCTTTAAGGGAGAAAGGTGTTTTATGTGTTTTCTATTTTAAGAAAATAATGTTTTTCAAATCTTTTGTAAGACCAATTTTTCTTGAAATCTCAATAACGACAATAATTCACATTGAAGATCCTCCTCCCCCCAAATTTAGCTTTAACCTTATGTCGGTTTCTCAATCTAATACTCTTAACTTATGTCAGATTGAAAAGTTAACATATTTCAAAAAGTCAGCACTTATTTTGATATAAAATGGGTGGACAACAAACGTTTTTGACATAAATGATTAAAACTATAGCTGGGAATTTTCAGTTTGGAAATTGGTCCACCCCATGTACATTGAAAGAAATGGAACCAAAAGTAATGCTTGTGAGATGCTTGGGCTGCATCCCCGTATACTTATTGCTTGCCTTCTTTTCTTTTAAGAAAATTTCTTTTATTATCAGAAATAAAGTAACAAGTGATCAAATTTTAATATGGTGGTCATAATATTGTAGTCTTTGTTGCGTTTTTTGACTTACCCCATGGTCAGTCATAATATTGCATGATTATGTAGTCTCATTGTATCTAAAAGCATATTTTAAAGAAAAGAAAATTTAAAGAAATTAAATTATTTACCAGATGCAGTGGGACCTTCACTTGCTGTAGGACTGCTAATTGGAACCCCAAATACTGCAAAAGAAAGGTAAAACAGAAATGAGAAAAAGGCAAAAACTAAGATCTAGGACACCTATTTGGGGCCCATTAAGTTACCCCTTTTCTTGAACAGTATGAGGTATTGCACAAACCAGAAAATATGGATACAAGAAAACCTCATACAGAAACTATACAACAGGGTTATCAAACTAAATTTATGGAAACCTCCATGAAGTTGTCATTTCTCCTAAATCAGGACAACCACACAATTCAATGGATCCCATTTTGAAGATTAATTCCGAAAAATCAGCTTTAAGTGATAAGCCTTTTGAAGTAATAATTCGAATAGTGGTCAAAAAATTTATTTATGGGCCATTTGATAACAGATGAAGTGGCTGAACTGAAAAGCATATTTAGTGAATAACAGATGATGCTGAAGTTGGGTAGATTACTATTCCTTTGAATATTTTATTATTTAATTATTTTATTCACTAAAAGACAAAGAAATAAGTTGTTCAGTTCAGAAACTTCAGCCATTATCAACAGCCCCTTAAACTCTTTTAAAGCTCTAAAAATGAAGCATGAATCAACTTTCCAAGTGGTAAGCTGTGATGGCCCATTGGCCCCAACACTGTAACTAGCAATCTTGTGTCCTCAAACCCTAGCCAATTCCATTAACAAGAATGAGTTGTTTAAGTCTAGGACCATGGGAACTATATTTTTTTTCTTTTTTCAGATAAGTGCACCAAAAGTATTAGAAAAATAGGCAGATAACCTTTTATCATCTAAGTTGTTTTCTAACTTTTGGATCTAAGACTTGAAAGATCTAAACAGGAGCACAGAATCTTTAATGGTCTGGGTGTGTAGAGTAAAAGAGCGATATTACAAAAAGCTTGAGGTAATATAGGAAACTTTCAAGGTCCCTTTGGAGACTCAATTTGAGTAGTTAGTAGGTAGGTGAAACTTGGGCAGGTAACCCTAACCCAACCTCGAAAGATCAGATTGGACTAAAGGTTGGCAATGTGGCTTTAGCATCCTTATCTCTGTTCAATCTTAGCCAGGCAACTCTACATTTCCATAGCTCATAAACAACTGAATTTTTTATTTGAACTTCTTGTCTTTTGATTCTTGTAGCCATGTCTTAGCAACTGGAAATTTTCAGATGTGATGAAGAACTAACAGAGGAACTGTCATAATTTCTATGGCTTCCTTGTATGGATTCTTAGAAGGATAAGGCTTCCATGTTCCAGGTTGTTCTGAACAATCAATCAAATATAATAAATTTGGGGTCAGAAAAACAGTGGGAAGTTTCAGATTGCATTTAAGTGGTCTTGTGACACCAAAAGTCTATTAAATCAAAACAAATAGTACGTTGTACTTGGTTTGATAGAAAATAGGAGTGAAACAGAAAGTTAGGGAAAGTTCTTAACGTTTCTCTCTTATTTTCTATCTAACCAAACATAACCAAAGGGAAGGGAAACAAGTTTTGATGAAAAGGAAAAAAATAATAATTAAAATATTTGAATCTAAAAAAAATACTGACAGAGAAACAAACTCAGAAGGGAACCAAACATTGATTACAATGTTTTACACCAAATAATAAAATATTATGTGCATGGCCTAAAGACGGATGGAAGACTCACTTGCACCATGAAGTGACAACACAATGATCCAAATCTGTGTGATGTATGATGCATTTTGTAAGGCATGCAACCAAACAAGATTTTATGCTTTAGCATTGCTCAGTCTTTAAGAACAACAGATTCTAACTAGAATAATGGCTACAAAATATAAGCTTAATTAGGGCCTTAGTTTGCTCATAGCATGGTCGGACGAAAGCATCCAACCATCTCTTGATTTTTATACGTGAACCTTTAACCCTAACCCTAAAGCCTAAACCTTAAGTCTAAACCCTAAATCCCTAAAATTTGTGTAAAATGTATTTGGTTGGACATACATCCTCTGACCAGATAGGAAACAACATTTTCTCGCTTAATCAGATTGTCTGACAATAAGACAAAATTAATTCTAAACCAGCTTTCTAACAATAAAAGAAGATTCAATAAAATGTTTACCAACTTCTTTTTTTTTTTTTGTAAACATTTATTTACAAACTTTTATGGCCCACAGTTTGCTTTTATAGGTGGAACATCCAGTCAGATCATTGGACTAATTTCTTGTTTCCAACTAGGAATGGAAACGGGGCGGGGCAGGGGCGGGAATCCACTCCACATCCCATCCCTGCAAAAATCCCTACTTTGTCCCTGTTTCTGCCACCGCTAACTGGCCAAGGTGGTTATCCCCACCCCCCGTGACTTTTTTATAATGTCAATCATTTTGTTTTTTTTTTATTTCATTTAAAAAATGAAAAATAAAATAATTAAAATTTACAATCCTATTATAAAAGACCCAAATATATTCAATCATATTTTTAAAAATATTAATATACATACATCTATACTATAAATAAATATAAAGCAAAGCAATCCATGTGTCACCCTTGCTCTCTTTCAAAATTTACATCAAAATCCCCATTTTAAAATTCTCCTTTATTCTTACTTTTTAAAGTCATGTAATTGGGGAATCCATCAATGGCAGCCCGGTTCCAATATCTGAGGAAGTTTAAAACCACTTGCTCTTAAAATTTCTCCCGTTATCTTCTCTCTCATGTTAACTAGAAAATTATACACGTTTTTCTCCTAAAATCCCATACATTCCACTCTCTTCATGAAACCTTCTCCATCATGTCTCTTAAGATAATTATTAATTAGATTACACTTCTCAACCATCCCACATGTTGCTAGATTCTCCTAAGATAACGTAAATTAATTTTTGGTAATTTTGAAATTAACTTTGGTAGATTTCATAACTAATTTTGATAAATTAGGTAATTTGTTTTGGTAACTTTGGTAAATTAATAACATTTAGATAAAATACCAAAAATTATCAAACAGTAATTTTATTAATTTATTTAATTTTGGTAAATCAAATTAGAGATAATCAATTAGTGTAAATTATTTTTAGTAAATTTCATAATTAATTTTGTCAATTTTGGTATATTCCCAAAAATTAATTTCACTAAATTAATTTTGATTTACTTTGGTAAATTAACAACTAACCAAAAATTATTATTATTTTCTAATTTATTAATGAATAATTTGGTAATTTTGGGAAATTATTAATTTTGGTAATTTTGTTGATTTTTTTTCGTAAAATATTAATTTATGAAACTGAAGCAATTTTGCTAATTTTTCTAATTTTGGTGATTAATTTTGTTATATGGGTAATTGAATTTGTGATCCATTCTATTATTTTAATTTTGGTAATTTCGTATATTAATTTTCCTTAAAAATTTAATTTTTTGTAAATAAATTTTGGTAATGTTGGTAACTTTTGGTACTTTAATTATTGTAATTTTGGTTATTTGGGAAATTAATTTTGGCAATTTAGATAAATTAGTTTTGGAAATTTTGTTAAAGTTTGGTATATTCCCACAAATTAATTTTGATTTATTTTGGTAAGTTAACAACTAACTAACAATTATTATTTTTCTAATTGATGAATGAATAATCTTAGGAAATTATTATCTTTGTTAATTTTCAAAAGTGAAGTAATATTGATAATTTTTGTACACTAATTTTGTTAATTTTGGTGAATGGTGATTAATTTGGTTATATTGGAAAACAAATTTGTGATTCATTTTGTTATATAAATTTTGGTAATTTCGTATATTAATTTTCCTAAAAATTTTAATTTTTGATAAACGTTTTGGTAATGTTGGTAATTTAATTATTGTAATTTTCTTATTTGTGAAATTAATTTTGGTCATTTATGTAAATCAATTTTCATAATTTTGGTAATTTAGTTGAATCTAATAATTAATGACAACATAGGAAAATTAATGCTTTCATTACAACTTATTTGTGATTCAATCAGCTAGACAAAATCATGGTTCTCATACTCTTGATAAGCAAAATTTGTGTATTGAGAGTTTCATTTGATTAAATTCAATGTTTTAAAAACCGATCTGGAGGCCAAACTGTTTTTACCTCTGGGTCACAAGTCACTGATTCGACCATCCGAGTCGAACGGGTTAGGCCGTGCCACATCAGCCATACAGAAATTCAAACATATATGTGTATAGATATGTAATAATGTATATGTTCCACATGTAATGTACGTATTATTTTATATTTAAATTATATTTTTAATTCAGTTTTAAATTTTTTATTTGTAAAAAATATTAAAGTTTGCAATTTGATGCCAAAAAAGGGATTTTTTGGCAAAAATAGCAAGGGCGCCTTGCGATGCATAGATCTCAAAAATTTACCCAAAATAAAAATAAATCACCTCAGTCAAACATCAGAATGCAAAGTTATAGGCTCCGAAAGTTTGCATACACACTTAGCGTGCAACTCATGACCCAGCCACCGGGTCGAACGGGTTAACGGTCCAACCATCCAGGTCAGACGGTTTTTTACCTTCCTCTCTGGATTTTACTCTAGTTGGACCTGGAATCATGACCGGGTGATGGTTCAACTGGTTCAACCAGTCGGGGCAACGACAGGTTGAAAACACTAATTAAAACTATTATTTTTGTTTTTGAAAAATTGACAAGAGACCTATCACATCATCCATTTTGATTTAAAAGCATCTAAATTATCAAACTATTTATATAAAATATATCCATGAACTAAAGATAATAATATGCCCATTTGGAATGTCATATGATTCCTTTTATTTCAATTTTTCTTGACCGGTACACCACACAGAACCACTTCATTTGGTAGATTATCCAAACTCTTAAATGGGTCAATTGATGGAACCCACATTTTCTCTTACAAAACTTGTACTCACACCGTCATTAGTGACAACACTTGAAGCCATGCATTGGAAACATTTCCATAAATAAAAATATAGAAGTACTAAGATGTTTTAATGCTGGGCTACAAGTGTTGTGAGGACCAATTTCGTGAAAACTAATTGATGTCACATGCAAATGGCTGTTAATGCTTTTAAGGAAAGGAGAATCAGATCGCCTGCAAGTAAAATATATACATATCCCTTCCAACATGACCTATGTCCCTAAATGACCTGAATGATCTTGTAGTGAATCCCACACAACAATAAAATATGGGTAAATTATTGCTGAAACCTCTTGCAAGTAAACTTTTTACAAATTTATGAATAACAAAAAAAAAAGAGAATTTACCTTTGAGTGATTGATACGAAGGGAATTTTTTTGAAAATAAATCAATTTCCCAAAAGAGATAAAAAGGTTTGGAATAGTGATTGATGCAAAGAGAAAATTTATGAAATAAACATTTTGATCAAAACTAACTACATAGTTATTTGAGCATTTTCATGCCGCTTGAGGAATGTTAGGTTTCATTAATTTACCCTAAAAACTCAGGATCCAACTCTCTTTCAAGTACATTTAAAAAACTCAGGATATGATTTTATTTAACATAAATAAAATCGCAAATTTCTGTAAATAAAATAATAATATCTTTTTAAAAGGGCAAAATAAGACAACGACGAGAGTGGGCGCCGCACAAGTGCCCCACAGCACATCCCATATGTGGAATTCGACAACGACAGCACAGCTCAACCTCCCATCGGCCGGTGATGGCGGTGCCATTATGACAATGCGCACTTATCACCGGCGTATCAAAGCAAACTTATAGGCAGCGCGGCTAACTTGCACTAGGGTGCAATATAAGAATTAAGAAACACAAACTTAAGCTAATGAAGTGGCTAACGACCGAAACAAGCTTTGGTTGAGCTGCTTTGGAGAATCCACCAAAACAGGTTCTCCCCGAAGCTTTGGTTGGGCTTTCCGGTCTGTCGTGGGGCTCATTCATAAAGCCGAAAGCCGCCACGGGAAAGCCCCCCCAAATCATGAATTGAAGATTTGAGACAAGGCTTACCTGAGCACAAGCTAGGATCGGGAGTACTGACACCGCAAGCGGAAGGAAGCTTCAAAGCCTTGCTAACGTCGACTGGAATTCCAAAGCTATTGGCATTACCCAAAAGCTGGCACAAGCATTCCGGACTGCTCTCCACCAGCCCTGCAAGCGAAGGGCAGCAGTTCTTCTCCGGCTTTGTCAGATTGCTTCCGGCTTCCACGAACGTCAAACAGTCCGACAAATTCAACAGTTTCGTTAAGCAGTCCGGCGCCGGGGCTGGCGCCTGAGCCCTCACCTCGGAAAATGCCATCAGGACGACCATCGCCGCTACCACCACCACTACGCCGGAAACCCTGATTCCAGTACTCCCCATTTCACTCTTCCTTTCTCTTTCGCTTGGAGTTTCTGAGACTTACTACTACTTGGCAAGGGGAGACGGGTAAACGATGATATAGGGTTCAATGAAGGTCAGACAGTGACAGGCAACCTACCCAAGGAGTGAACAAAGCGATGGGCAGTTGGCTACGTTATAAATAAGACGATGCCGTTCCAGCCGGTTGCCTGTAAGCCCCTACAATGAAATGAACCGACCACCTACCGATACTAAATTCTTAGTACTCAGTACTCACTTGGGATTTACATTCGGCCAATTGGGTTCTCGTAAGAAATTTCCATGGGAGATCAAATCAGCACATTTCGGCCGTGTATTGAAAATATCTCCCGATGATAATATCTGAAATGATGTCATCGGGAGATGTTGCAGTGATGTACTGTAGTGTAGGGGCAATCTTATGGAGGCTGATTTGAATGTAGTAGCTGGACACCACCGAGTATTTATTTATTATTAAAAAATAACAATAATCAACTAAGAATCAAGCTGCCAATACTATTGCCCAACGGGCAAAATCTTTTGCTAAATCTTGCATGTGATGGTATTGGCCACCCTTGAGTTTGTATTAATACTTTGTTATTCAATTAATATATAAAAAAACCTGGAATATAAAATAATGCTTTTCATGTTATTCACCCTCTCTTTGTTTTTTTTTCCCTTCTTTGCATTTTATTTCATTTCTATATGTTTTTTCCTTCCAATAGGGGAGATAAATGGATATGACTTAAAAAAAATTTCCAAAAACTAAATCTAAGCTTTTTGATAAATAGAATAAGTTATAATGGAATAAAAGGCTTAGAGAACATAAAATTAGTTAACTAAAAAATGAACAGTAAATCCAAATAACTGCTCAAAACTTATTGTAGCTAGAAAATAAATGTTAGTGCAATTAGTAAAATGTTAGTGATGTTAGTAACTCGATGTATAACAGCACCAAGATATCTATATATTGTAGTTGAAAAGAAAATTAGGCAAGGGTAAAGAGCAGGCCATAAGATAGCTAGATATTCAAGTTTAGGCAATTACTAAGATGTTAGTAACAATTAGAAATAAAGCAATTACAAAAACTTGAAAGTAAAGTAGAAAATAAAGAACAAGAAAAGCAATGAAAAGTGCATACACAAAGGTTTGGAAAACCTTACCACCAGCAAAACCTTTTACAAGCATAGGTTTTTCAAGGTTCTTACAACCTTGGATAAACTTATGAGTAATATTTTAAGAAGCTTAAGCCTTGAGGTGAGGCAAACAGATTTTGCCTTGCTTTTCTTATTTTGGTATTTGGTGCCACAAACCACTAATATCCCCCCCCCCCAGCGTTTTGCCCAATTTCATTGGTTGCAAGAATCGATTCCACGTCAATGTTGGAGTAAATCAACGAGTGACCCCTCGGTTGGTATTGTCTCAAGGCTTAAGCCTTACAACTTTGGTTTGAAGCTTAAGCCATTGTTATAATGAGGCATAAGCCTCAAGGTGTCAAGCATAAAAAGGTATAAGCCTCAAGTATCGACATTATTTAGCGATTTAATGCAAAAAAAAAAACACATTTTTATGCATTTTTATAGTTCAAACTTCAAAATATATCGAAGAAGCACTTTAATAATTATGGGCCAAATAAAAAAGTAACAATGAAAAACCAATCGGGCAAATCAAGTTATTAGTTTCTCTTAGATAAATCAAGTGGGATTGTTTCTATTGTTCTTTTCTAACATCCCAAATTTGTTATTTTTCTCATTTCTTTTCCTAATGAATTTATTTTCTTTTTATTATTATTATTATTTTTTTTTTTTTGCATAGATCAAATCAACTAAGTTGTTTCTTTTCTCCCCATCTATTAGATGACCATAAATCTAATATCAATTATATGGATGATTCTTCATGTGTAATTTCATAAGATTGCATTTTGAAACCGAAACATAAAATGCTTATAATTGTTAGATGATTAATTATTATTTTATTTAATGCTTAAAAGTTAATACTTATTTCTTATAAACTTCTATTTTATGGATATATGTACCTTCCATCATTCTTAACTTTTATCATTTATAAAATTTAATTAATTTTTTAGCCTTATACCTTACAACTCCTTGAGGCTTATGCCTCACTTTTTTGGGCCATTATGTCTCAGTTACACCTTTATCCTTTTAAAAACTTTCTTACATGTACTACACTCATTCAATAGAACTTCATGGGTGTCTGCCAAACCTAATATGGTTGATCTTCAAGGTCTCTACCAAACCCTGATTGAAATTTCAGGTTCCAATCAAACCATTAGTGGTGGAACAAACTTCATTCATTCAAGTGATGTTATAATATAGCACAAAATATAGCAGGACAAAAAACTTCTCAATAGGCAGATATAGTATGATACAACAAAAACTATTCAATTGCTAGAGATAACTCAGATGCTCAACTCACTAAAGAGATTTACAATAGTTTAGTGAGATTGTACAAGCACAATGATTTCTCAACTTATCTCACTCTTAGAACTATTGAAGCTCAAAAATTTCTTCAAGAGAGAAAAAAGACTCTTGTGAACTTTCCCTCTCAAAACAACTATACACTATATGCAATGTATGAACAGATTGTTTTCTTGCTTCTTTATTTGATTCAAGTCAAAACCTCTCTTATTTATAGAAGATGGAAAGCAAGTAATTTTTTTTTTAATTCTTCGAGGACTTTAACCATTCATGGAAGTGATTCAAGGTTCCATCAACAAGATAGAAAGCATACCAAAAATAGAAATAGTCATTAGGTATTCAAATGATAAAAAAATCTAACAAAATAGATGACAATAATTAGTTAGTAGTTGCCTATCAAACAAAGGGAGGAATCTTTTTTCCTCTAATCAACTAGTTCCTCTAATCAGTTGACTGATATGTGTTTTCAAACTCAACTTGTTAGAGGTAGTCAACTATTTATTTTTAGGTAGTCGACTATAACATAATGCGAGGACATTTCATGCCTTAACTATTAAGGCTAGTCACCTATGCATTTTTGAGCAATCCATTATAGAACAGTACCGGCCTACCAGGGCATTTCATGCCTCAACTACCAAGGGTAGTTGAGTACTTGCATCCCAACACTTAAAAACCTTGGAAAAATTAATCCAAAGCTTTGGGCATTCTTCCTTTAGCTTTCAAAAATGATTTTCAACATTTCAGATCTTATTTTAAGTCCACGAAATCGTAGGAACTAAATCTATTCTAGCTATTGGTCTCTAAGGTTGAATTCACTGAGTTTGGTCTTGTTGAGCATCTTGTGTTGTGCTTGTGCATATCAAACAAATGATTACATCAATAACTTAAAAGATATGACACTTAGACCATGGACCTAATGTTTCTTTCCTCCTTGAGGACTTGTAGCAAAAGTTTTTTTGAGTTGCTCCTAAACCTTCTAAGCCTTTATAGTTCATTAATTATTTGAGATCCCTCGAGCAATCCAAAACTTTGGAGAGAGTGGTAATGGTGTTGACAATGTTTAGATCATTCAGTTGAATCAAACAGTGCTTCCATGTCGTCTTCTTTAGCAAGATACTATAAAAGTGTAACTCAAAGAAGCTTACTTGGATTAGCTATATACTTAGCACGCCTTTAGTACTCTTAATGAGTTTGTTATCGTTACAACACACATGATCAATACCTTTCCCTTTCACTAGAGCTCCATCCATTTAGACTCCCAATGTAGAAGGAACTTATAAATTATCCCTGATTTCTTTATATTCTCTTATCTACTTTCCCATAAAAATGCATTGTTTTTAAAAGTCATATCTAAAAAATACACCTTTATTATTTTCTAAAATTATCTACAACTTAGCAGTGGAGTTACATGTATTTTAGGGGGTTAATTGACTTTTTAAACTAGTTTAAGTATGACTTAGGTGGTTGAAAGTGTAAAAAAATAATTAACTTTTGACATTTTGAAATGCCAAAGGTATGTAAGTAGTAAATGGATCTTTTGGTCATTATATGGTAATAAAAAAAGATCAAAGAAAGGGGAAAACTCCAATTGTATTGTTTTCCAAAAAGAAGACAAAAAAGGAGAAATACCCTAATTGTGTTTTCCCTCACTAGTTTGGGTTTCTTAAGTTTGAAGGCATGCATGTAATACTCTCCATCTATAATTCTTGGAGCCAAAAATATCTTGTTTCTTATTTTATTTTCATTTTTCTCTAGTTTATTTAACTAGCTATTTATCCATTTAGATTTAGGTTTTGGACAACATGATTCTTAAGGTAAAGTTTCACTCATGAGGAAGAAAGAATACGAAAATATTTTTCATTTTAATTTTTAACTAAATATTGAAATAACACAAAATGGGATTTGTACATATTTTTAGAAACAAGAAAAACTAGTGCAAAGAATTTCCTATTCCATTCTTTTGTTGGCATAAAAAATCAAAATTATACTTAATATTTTCCTCATGAAAGATCAATTTAAGAAATAAAATTCTTTGTAGTTTTACTCATAATAATGGATCATGGTCATATAAAAAGTTTGATATATGGGCCTTCACAAGATATATAATTGAAGAATTAATTTTTGGTCATGTATCAATCTTTTGGCTAAGTATTTCATCACTTGGTTTGCTTCCAAGTGGCCGATGACTCAGAGACCGAAGCGGAGCTGCCTAGGTGTCGAGCTGCCTGTGAGGTGCTGAGCTGACCAGGTGCAGTGTGCAGGGCTGCCTGTGAGGCGCCGGGTTGACCAGGTGCGAGGATACCTGTGAGGTGCCGAGCTAACCAGGTGCAGGGCTGCCTGTGAGGTGTCGAGCTGACCAGGCGGCGAACTAGATTGATGAGTTTCGTTGCTCTTTAGAGGCCTGCAAGGAACTAAATGTCAGAGGACCCGGGGTGGCTAACCCGGCGAGGTCGCTCCGATGCTTAAGTCAGTACTCTCATAGTAGACTGCGAGCTGAGAGCTAGAATTTGCTTACTTGCTTGCATGCTTACTTGCTTCTGAGGTTGGTGCCTTTATATAGGCATTGTTTGGTGTGGGCTTCATGCACCATATCCGAGATTTTTGCGAGGTCATCTAAGTGGTTCGAGATTCCTGGAGGTAACCGCCATGCACGTTGACCACCCTCCAGATCGTTCGGCACATGGGCCAACTTCCAA